GTAAATATTTTATTTTTATTATATGTTCAATTTAATGATTTACTTTAAACTTATTCATGGTTTATTTTCGTCTATTTTAGGAGAAAGCTAGGCTTTAACTCTGGCTTCAGCCATGGCTTCATTTCTTACGTTACTGTTTTCCTTTTGTGCAGGCAATTGCTCCTGGTATGTTATACAAAATCATTAATTTCAAAGAAGGTGTTAGCTATGTCATGAGGAATATGTTATGAGCTTAAACTTTTCTTTTATCTGCAGGAATATGATTTCAATGCTTGGATTGTTAAAATGGATACTCCCTCATCAACCGTGGATTCTAGAGACAGTGACAGTAGTGATTTGTCTGATGATTTTGTACAAAATTCAAAAGACACATCAGGTAAAAAATTCCACAAGTTGTCATCAGCACAATCTTCAGCATCGCCACCTGATAATCCTGTCTTCAAATGCCAGTTTTGTAGTGCTGCTTTCTCAGTCAGAAGCAACTGTACCCGCCATGAAGGTAGATGTGAACACAACAAATCAAAGGAAGCAGCCTTATTTACTTGTTCCACTTGTGGGTCTACCTTCAATAGAAGAGACAATTTTAATGTACACTTAAAGAAGTGTAGCTCTGCGAAACCTAATTGCTCAGAGAGAAAAAAACCTTGCTTGTTTAAGGACTGTGGGTTAAAATTTTACCACAAAATCACATTGATTGAGCACATCAAGTCTTCTCATCAACATGTCAGTATTAAACCAACCGTGCATAAATCTTTTCCCACTATTCAAGCATTTAATGTGTGGAAGGAGAAGGAAGAAGCGGACACTTTTTCTTATTTTACTGCAAGGAAGGGGCAAAAACATAGTTCTGATAAACATTTTTATTGCCAGCATGATGGCTCTGCAAAGTTGCATTCTAGCAGGAAGACCAGCAGATGCAAAAATATAGGCAGGATTAAAGTTGGACACCAATGCATTGCCAAGATCATTGCTCGAGTTAAGGAAGGTAAAGTTGATGTGGAGTATTTCCCAACTCACAGTCATGTTTGCAAAAAAGAAGATATGTTTCATCAGCCCCTACCTGACGCTATGTCCAGGTTCATTGATGAGAAACTTGCTGAGAGAATACCACCATCAGTTGTCTATGACCTGACTAAGGAACGATTTTTGCCCAAAGATAGTCCAAATGTGCAAAATATAAAAGCAAGTATTCTCACTAAGAAAAGGATTTTAGAAAGGGGTCGTAAAAGACGTATGGCCCGCAGACTGCACAAGAATGATGCTAAAGCTGTCTATCTCATGGTCACTCAGCTGTTAGAAAATGATGATTGTGTTCTCCTATATAAACCATATGGCTGTAAAGTTGTGCATGGTCCCCCTGAAATTGATAATTTACCAGATTCAGAAAAACTTTTCATGTTTGCTTTCCAAACAGAAAGACAAAGACAACTGATGAATAGACACTGTAGTAAAATTGTCATTGTGGATGAAACCCACGGCACTAATCAATACAACTATAATTTGTTGACTGCCATGGTAGTAGATGACAACCGACGGGGATGGCCCATTGCTCATCTCATTACAAGTAAAGTCAAAAATGATGGTGATACTTTGCAATTCTTCTTCAGCTGTCTAAAGTCACGTCTGGATAATGATGTGAAAATAAGTTGTGTAATAACTGATGATGATCCATCTCTAATTAATGGTATGAAGGCAGGAATTGCAGACGACCTTATTCATCTCTTGTGCAAATGGCATGTTATCAAAAATTTGAAAGATAATCTTCGGAAGAAGTCATCCTCTGATCTTTTTGAAACTGTTTTATCAGAGATCAAAGTTCTTATGAACACTGAAAATGAAAATGAATTTCTTAAATTAAAAGATGCCTTTAAGAAGAAGTACAAAGATGAAAATAACAAATCTGCTAAGCCATTTTTGGATTATATGGAAAAATACTATTTTAAGAGATGCGAGAAGTGGGCAATGTGTTACAGGAATTTTCCACATGCAGAAGTGAACACAACAGGGCACATAGAGTCATTCCATAGTAGGCTGAAGAAAACATACCTAAAGAGAAAGGTCAACAAAAGGCTGGATGATTTAATTCACATTCTATTTGATGTAGAATGGGAAGACCACTGTACAAGAACCAGGGAGGCCAACACAGGATTTTCTTCTCGACCACAAGATATTATGGAGCGACATCAACGTGGCCTCTTAATGGAAGATGATGTCATCATTGAACAAGTTGTCAACAGAGTGTGGGAAGTCAAGTCTGCTTCCAACAGCAGTCAAATCTATATAGTTGAACGCCACAAAGAGTCCTGTACTTCTGACTTCTGCTTTTGTAAATGTTCTAAGCCAGAATGTCATGGTCTGTGTTCACACCTTTTCTCTTGTAGTTGTCCTGACCACCATCCGCTGTGCAAGCACATTCATAAATTGCAGTCTTTTCTCACTAGAGGGCAACCGCTTACTCGTGTTGACGAGGAAGACTTTTACATTTTTCCAGATGTGAAAGATGATTGTTCTAACAATGCAAATTTGGAGGACAACTGCAGAAGTGAACCATCTTCTAGTGAAACAATGTGGCAAACAAAAATTGACAGACTTCAGTCTAATGTTGCTGTCCTTCAACAATTTTTGCAAGATGCTCAAGAGAAAAGTATCAATGAATATTCCTTGACTCATGCTGATGCAATCCTTGCAGATCTAGTGAAAGCTTTACATCTAGATAATAATCAGAAAGAACTTGAAAGTGTGCCTGCAATGGACCCTGTTGTCTCATTTGCCCCAAATGAAAAGCTCAAAACCCAGGTTTCTCAAATCCCCTCTTTTAAAAGACCCTTATCAAAAAGGAAACGGCAAGAAGATCCTTCTGTTCTCAGGCAGAAAAAGAAAGCTGCTATTGAAGGCCTTCTTAGTTATTCATCATCCATCCCCAATGTTGATGATCCAGATGATGATTTAGTTAACCTTGATCATGAAAATGAGACTACTGAAAATTATAAGAATTTTACCCTCTCTAGTTCATATGTCTCTGATCCATTTGACATTGTTCTTCGGTGTGGAGATGACCAAATATCTCTCATTCATCTGAAGTCCTTAGAGTTGTACTTGGAACCAGAAGAAGAGAAAGTCTACAAGAGAAGAGACTCAATATTTCATTGTGGTTGGTTGTACTCCAGTATAATTGATGCCTTCATTTTCAAATTGTGTTTGAAGTTTCCTGCAGCTTTTCATGTTGGTTCTGACTTAGCAAGTCGTGCCCTAAAAACTTCAAATGCTAGTTATTTCCAGCGTAGAGTTGATGAGATCCAAAACAAGTCTATTCTTTTCCTTCCTGCTAATCTTTCTGGTAATCATTGGTTCATCCTTGCAATTTTTATTCAGGAGAAAGAAATTCAATATTATGATCCTTTGCAAGGTCCTCTGAGTGGTGACTGTCTCAAACTTTTGATCCAGACAGTGTCTGATTTGAAGGTTGTTTTTCCTTCTTCTGGCAATTGGAAAGTCAAGCCCATCCGTAGACCGAAGCAAACAGATTCGCATAGCTGTGGTCCATACATCTGTCGATTTGCTGCTGAATTGATTGACCCATGCTTTAATCTCTCTGTTGCAACTCCATATGAAATTCGGAAGTTCATTTACCATGTGATTGTTGGCAACTGTTTGTCCAGATTGAACTATTTTGTGGAAGAATGCGGCAAGTGTCATGTCTCATATGACAACGAAGACAACAATAACCAGGGAGATGCTTGGTTAGCTTGTTCCAGTTGTAATCAGTGGTTCCACCTTAAGTGTGTAGACGTTTCCCAAACATTTGACACATTCATTTGTCCTTAGTCAAAATGTCAAATTTTTTGAATTTTGTGGGCCATCTATTACTGTTTTGAAATGTGCCGGGCCAAAGTGAAGTGAAGCAAAGCACAGGTTTGACTTAGAGCACCCTATTATGGGTCCTTGTTTCCTTCCGAGTTCTCTATATTGCTTTTAGTGTTGTATGAACATTTTGGAGTCCAGTTCTAGTTTATGATAAATACTTTTTTTTATGTTAAATATTATATTAATCTTTTCTCATTAGTCAGGGGTTATCCTGTGATCTTAGCTATATGCTTTTGTATGTTGTAAAATACTATACTTATCTTTTCTAATCGGTCAGGGGTTATCCTGTTATCTTAGCTATTAAAGTCAAATGTAATTCTTTGTTTTGGCCCTATCCTGTGATCTAGTTTTTAATT